TTCACCAAGCTACAGTCACCCAAACCATCAAAAAACACACAGGGGATCTAGGATATGGACATAAAAATACAATCAAACTTTCTGTTTATGTATAATGTAGGATACACATGCAAAAGACTGGAATGGCCATTAGTATCGGAAGAAATGAGAAATACATAAAATGCCTCAAATTTGTACTACACTTAAACTGACACACTAATGCGATCTTGAGTGACTACCTGAGCAAGCTGAAGAGAGATGTTTTCTCTATATTTACCGTATGTAGCCCTGGTTAACAATCCATATACAAAATATAGCATACCATGTTTGAGCAGGTTTCAATATTACCCCTTTCACACCTAAGGGTAAAAGAAATCTTAATGCCCAAGTAAAATTTTGCAACTTTGACATGTGTTAGTAAAACTGTACATATCATCACAACTACTTTGTAGATCCAGGTGAATTATACCTTGGTTTTTTTTCAGGACAAAATTGGACTGTCATTTGATGGTAAATTGTAAAGAATATCTCTTTTTTTTTTTATTATCAAAGGAACATTTTTTTTAAACTTAGCTGTGTGTTTCTTGTTCCTACCATAACCTACCATCAAAGAACAACCCAAAATAAATTATCTAGCGCCTGATAGCAGAGATACCACATGTGTATGTTGTTGCTTGTAACCATATTACGATCCAGAAAGAATAGTGCACATTTTTTTTCTTTTTTTTTTTCCTACCTAAAAACACATTGCCACCAATACTAATTTAAAAAAAAACAAAAAAAAAAAACAAAAAAAACTTGACCTTGACCCAAAACACTAACCTGGCAACTGACCTAGATCAAACCTTGATCTAAGTATTTTTTATTATTTATTTTTCCTTTTTTACAGTTTTTTCTTCTCTCTGCAAGGAGAGAGAGAGATGCAATGCATCTCTCTCCTCCATTCAGAAAGAAAGAAAACATGGGCGGGTGAGTGGGCTTCACAGTGATTGAGCACAGAGAAAGCCAATCAGAGGCTATCACAGTGATCGAGTAACCCAGAATCGGGAGTTCCAGGTCCTGATCGTTCGTACAGGACCTGGGGCTCTCAGTGACAGAAACAAGCCCAGTTCTGTGAGGCCGCATACTTGTATGACGTAGGCACCAAGGGGTTGGATTGAACACCAGCCAAGAAACATGCATTGTCCTGTATATCCAGTATTAAATGTATGTTTCTGTGAACCCTGGTTTCTTACCTGAAGATCCTGCCAGTAATTGCACTTCCTGTTGTTGGCAGACAACACTAAGCCACTGTCTTGCAATCAGCAGCAGCCTCGTCAGCCGGCCGTGTGCCCTGCTTCAGTTGGGATACCTATTTGATAGGCAGTCTCATGGCTAACTGAAGGAGCTCACACAACATGCCGACAGTCACTGATTGTGATGTAGTGGCTTAGTATTGTCAATCTGCAACAGAAAGTGCTGTTACTGGAAGGAGCTCCAGGTAAAATCATTCCACCCAGTTCACAAAAACAAATGGAGTATAATGGCAAACATACTGAAAAACAGATTAAGGGTTGGTTCACATCAGAACATGATGTGGGAGAGGCAAGCTCCATGCAAGTTTCAAGTACCACTCTCAAAACATACTGCTTGTGCGATCTGCTGTGGGTTCCTAATATATTCCTAATGACACCCCAAATGCAGGTCGCAAACACAGTCTGTTTGCATCAGATTGTATTGTACCACGATGCAGTGCATTTTTAAAAAGTAGTGAATGCACTACTATTTTTTTCTACCATTCAGTGCAATTTCAGCCCATTCAAATGAATGATCTGAAAATTGCACCGCACTGAATTGCACAGGAATCACACAGGAGTCAGCTATTAGGGATTACATACAGTCATACCTGGCTTATGCAAGAATTGTTCTCTTATTTTCAACTTGAATCGAGTGGTGAAATGTCACCTGATGTCTGATACACACCATATTTCTGTGTCTAAGGATGCAGGGTTTATGGTCAGGCACTTTCGCAGGTGACAATTTCACATCATGTCTCAAGCTGAAGAGCCAGAGTAAGTCATATTTTGCTTTTGTCATCTGTGGTCAAAATTGCTCAATTGTGTCCAGAACCAAACTGTTCATTGTGTGAAAGTCTGATGGAACTGTTCACACAGCCTGCATGTTGTATCAGAATGTTCGACTTTAAAGCGCACTGATCAAGATATTAATGGCGGAATCTACATTATGTGTCACTGTAAAGCAAAGCATAAACAAAGAAAACAAAATGTACGTGAATTAAATGTAAACTAAATATAAGTTCACCATTTGTTATTTAATGTTATACTGCATATCAGAAAATCTTGTCTTATTTGGTAATTCCATTCCGATCAGCAGGGGATCAGCTTATAGATCCTTTCCTGATTGGAACACAGAGGGTGGATGACACATCTGTGTCCACTCAGTTTTTTGAGCTGCTGAAAGGGTGAATGGGAATAAAACAGACTCTGCTGTCCATTTACACCCAACTACCCTCCAATCCACCTGAACAGAAGTGGACGGATCCCCTTAACTTTTTTGTTTTGTAATAGCAGATCGATCCGGACCTGGAGGTAGGTGGGTGTAAACAACACACGTCTGTTTGCATATGCCTATCCATGGGGATACATAGACCATCTGATCAGGTCCACCTGAAAAACTGACATGCGGCACTGACCTGATCACCCATGTAAAAGGGGCCTAAAAGCTACATTTTGGGTTTTTTTTTAATATCTATACAAATTTAAAGTATCACTTGTTAAAACTGTAAAGAAAAGCTTATTTATTCTATGTATACTGCTTTTTGCCTTTAAAATATATTTTATAACAGATTGCAGTTAGAGGAATTTATCAAGACTGGAACAGAAAGAAGATCGAGCAGCTGTGCACGGCAACCAATCAGATTCTAGCTTTCATTTTCAAAGCTTAATTGAACAGGCTGAATTGAGAAGCTGATTGGTTACTATGCACAACTGCTCCAGTTTTAGTAAATTCTGCCCAATATATACCTCAATTCTGTAACATAGCGAATTAAAGTTATTGCCATATTCATTGGCCCATGGCTGAATGTGAAAATGGCTTTCAAACTTAAATGGTTATAATATAAAACTTACTAAAATTAATCTAAAATGCAAAACTTTTTATTATATCTCTAAGGCTAGGTTCACACTAATGCGGTGCAGCACATCGCATGTGATTCGCACAGGAACCGCACCGCATTCCTGTGCGAATCACGTGATTTGTGCGCGGTGCGACTGGAGCCTTACATTTTTTTTATGGCTCTAATCTCACCGCACCAAAAAGGTGCAGGACCCTTTTTTGGGTCCACACTAGAATCGTATCGCATGGGTATTCACACCTATGCGATCCGATTCTGCACATCTCACTTACCATTCACACACCCGCATCGGTTCGCATGAACGGGGTGCGATTCTGATGCGGTGTGGAATTTGCACGGAAGACGCTACAAATTCTGCATCGCATCAGTGTGAACCCAGGCTGAAACATTTACTTTGTGAAAAACAAAAGGGTAATGTAATTTGAAATAGACAGATCATTGTTTTTTGGATCGTAAACGGTTGATATGTTTGTAAAAATGCATCATAGTAAAAACGTAAACAGCTTTGCACGGTTTGTGTTATTGGAAATCAAGACAGAATGTAATATGAAATCTAGGAATCAAAAATAGTTATACCAGTATTACCACTGTAATGGTGGGGACCCAGAACTACATATACTCATATCCTAGTAAGATATTTTTAAACCCTGTTACTTGAGAAAAAAAAAAAATCTATACTTCAGCTCAACCTCAAGTATGTGGTGTCACATCTCCAAAAGTTTAAAATCAATCTACAGTCTAGTTAATAAATGATTCACTACCACCACTGGTACAGAGCTCAATATGGCAGTGCAATTTTGTTTCCTGAATACAGATCTGGATTGTCCACATAGGTAGGGCACTAGAAGGTGGCTTCCCTATATATTACCCAATTTGCACTAGTAATGCAATGGTTCTAAGCAATAAAAAACAAAATGGGGTAATTTAACTGGGATACAACTCAGATCTCCCAAACCCTTAATCCCTTGCTGCCTGCATATGGCAGCAAAGTGGGCAGGCTGTAACACCTACACGCCACACATATGCGTACATGGATGGCAGAGTTTTCTGTGCTGAGAGCATGCTCACTATGTCCTCCTAGAACAGCTGTCAAAGATCAGGAGCTGGCAGGACTGGCCCTCAATCATGTGCCCATTGTGACAGACAATCACAGTGGTCACATGATCGGCTGGTCCTTCCTGCTCTGGTTGTAAAGGGCTGGGCAGCAAGTGGTTAATAGGTTTATTTAGAGAGTTAAGATTTTGACAACACAGAACTTTATGGAATGTTCTACACAACTCTGTCATCTGTATCTTTAGTGCTGGGTTGGAAACAGAAAACAGGATGCTCAAGTATTAACTCCTAATCCCTTGGTGGGTACCTGGGTTTTCAGGCAGAAGTGGCATTCTTATCAATTCTTGTTGCTAAACCCTTCTTCAATTGAGTAAATGCTAATATATAAATACCTGTAATAATAATATTTTACATAGGGTTCTTAAAAACGGAATATTTTTAGTTCTGCAATGAATTAGCCCATAACTCCAAGCTGAATTAAGGCTCACATACAGTAGATTAGTCCAGCAATATTACCAGCTAGTTTAAATGAGTAGTAACAGGCAATTTTGGTTTTAGCTTCCCTTTAAGGGCGATAGTAAAATGCCACAAAACGATTTTCTCAATTACTGTTCAAAAAGGTAAATTTAAGAAGGCCAATAGTTTAGGCACCTTTTAAAAAGAGCTTGACTTTGCAAAAACAATACATAAAAATTTTAACTAACAAATACTTCACAAAATGATATAAAATAATGCATACAGTTTTACAAAAAGCTGTCTAGGAAGGCAAGAATTTGCAGGTTACAAGGAAACAATTTGCACATGACTCCGATCGGTCTGACAGCAGCCGTTGTTGTTACCAGTTGTCAAGGAAATCAAATCCTGTCTTCAAAAGGACACTGCTGGTGTTAATCTGTAAAGGAAAAGAAAAAAGACTACCGTCAGACAAAAAACAAAAAGTATGAAAAAAAAATAATATAACAAGGTATGAAAAAGCAGCTACCATTTGTTTTACTTGGCTATGAATTTCAAAAAATTACAGTTGGCAACATAAAACTTCTAGAAAAACAGTCTTGGTTTGTAAAGTAAACCTCGTAACATTTCCTTCAGTCAAAAATAACTTATTAAAGGATTAGTTCACCTTTGCCAAAAACTGCTTATTCAGGTAAGGGGCATCTGTAAATAAAATGAATAATGCCCTTGCTATAGGTGTAGGCCATTTATATACCTCCCAAAGCTGACTGGAATACTCCCAGGACTTTGCCAAGTGAGGTCTATTTAGTAGTGCCCACCTCCAGCATCACAGAAGTCAGCTTTTTTTCTGATTCAAACTCCCTCACATGTATCCTGGGAGAATTGCAGCCATACTTCATGAGATACATAAATTACCTACGCCTTTAGCAAGGGAATTATCCAACTTTAGTTAGAGATGCAACATTTTTTTTTTTTTTTATCTACAGCCACCCGTTACCTGCATAAGCAATTTTTAGGTAAAGGCGAACTAACAAATTTACCGTAGATGTGCATGGAGGCTGTTGTAAGCTCTCCTCCTCTCTCCTCACACTCTCTAGCAAACCATGGAACCCTAGTGCCCAACCTGTGGCCCTGGGGCAATATGCGGCTTTTGGCACTTTTGAGCAGCTATCAGAGGTCCTTTATCTCTTTTACACTATTTTACTTTTCTGTTTTCAATCCTTTTTCTCTGACAATGTGTTTAATGGGTCTAGCTGAGGGAATTATCAGGAAAAGGGGGTGGTAACCTTTTTTAGGCCCCCTTTACCTCATGAGACTGTGGTGGTGGAGTAATAAGCCCCATTATAATTGATTTTATAGGGCTTAACATGATAGGCCAATTAGGGTCACATGATAAGGAACCTTCTGCAATACTGGGGGTCAGTTAGGGTCATATGACCCCTCAGAATGTTCTACAAGACTCAGGGATCAGTATTTCATACTGGTCGCCAAAGATCATTAAAGTTATCAAGTTGATAAAATTTATGTCAAGATGATGTAGGCCAGTGGTCTCCAAACTGCAGCCTGTGGGCCGAATGTGGCCCTTTGCTTGCCTCTATCTGGCCCTCGGGGTACTTTTCCTCTCACCGATACCATCAAGGAGGCACCATTTCTTCACTGGCACAAACTATGTGGCATTTTTCATTCCACTGACACCAATGATGGGGCATAATTCCTCCCACTGTATAAACAATTAGGTACTATTCTTCCAACCAATACCAATGATGGAGCACTATTCATCCCACTGACACCAATGACGGGGCACCATTCCTCCCACTGACACCAATGATGGGGCACTATTCCTCCCACTGACACCAATGATGGGGCACTATTCCTCCCACTGACACCAATGATGGGGCATAATTCCTCCCACTGTATAAACAATTAGGTACTATTCTTCCAACCAATACCAATGATGGAGCACTATTCATCCCACTGACACCAATGACGGGGCACCATTCCTCCAACTGACACCAATGATGGGGCACTATTCCTCCCACTGACACCAATGATGGGGCACTATTCCTCCCACTGACACCAATGATGGGGCACTATTCCTCCCACTAATACCAATGAAGGGGCAATATTCCTCCCACTAATAGCAATGATGGGGCACTGTTCCTCAAACTAATACCAACGAATGGAAACTATTCCTCCTTCCAATGACTACAAGCACTATGTCATTGTTTTTTACTCCTACTGATTCTGGGCCATTTTCTACTCCCACTGGCCACTCTGGCCCTCCTAAAGTCTGAAGGACAATAAAGCGACCCTTTGTTTAGAAAGTTTGTAGACCCCTGATTTAGGACAATAAACCAGGCTGTGGCCTATGTTCATCCATTTGGTGTTCTGGTTGTTTTTATTATTTGCATGTTTAATAGATAAGCCTGCTGCCTAGGGTCCCATATCATGTGTCAAAAGTATTTTTATGGGACTGTATGAAGCACAAATGTGGAAATACTGATTTGTAAAAGGGACTGAAAAATGACTAATATCAACCATGTGGAGCTTCCTATTGTTTCAATAAAATACTGCACCATATAGAGCTTTTCTCTCTGGGCTCGTTTGTTGAGCTGTTCCCTTCAAGGTGGGGCTACTTTGCTGATGGTGGAACGGTCTGCTAGGAGTATCTCCTACTTTGGTACATACCAGATGTTGCTTTCCCTTATCCTGTGTATGACGATGGATGAGGACTGACCTATGGAGGAGCTAGTGACCATTTATTTCAATGCGCATTTAATATACGCTTCTGGTGAGTGCATTATAAAGAAGGATTGTTCACTGGTTCGCATATCACTTGACGTCACGATTATCTTTCTTTTGGACTCTTCATTTGGAACACTGTGTCATTGATTTTTTTGGTCATATCCAATTTATGTGCTGAACTGTTCACCTATTGTCACGATACAGTTTGTTTGTCACTATTGCACTGCCAGATACAATTTTTTTGTTACATTATTTGTCTGTTCACTATAGTGCTATCTCAGAGCGCCTCACTTGTATCAAATTTTTGTGCATATTCACCACAGTCACAGTTATTTAATTTATTTATTTTATGACACTTAAGCATTGAGCATTGTTTATCATCATAACTTTTTTCTCCATGAGCGCTGCACCTTCTTTTTGTTTTATATGTCTTCAGACCTAAACCCTTTTGAGCATCTGTGGGGCATCCTCAGACAGAAGGTGGAGGAGCGCAAAGTCTCTAACATTCACCAGCTCTGTGATGTCATCATGGAGGAGTGGAAGATGACTCCAGTGGCAACCTGTGCAGCTCTGGTGAGCTCCATGCCCAAGAAGGTTAAGGCAGTGCTGGGAAATAATGGTGGCCACACAAAATATTGACACTTTTGGCCCAGTTTGGACATTTTCACTTAGGGGTGTACTCACTTTTTTTGCCATTAGACATTAATGGCTGTGTTGAGTTATTTTAAAAGGGACAGCAAATTTACACTGTTATACAAGCTGTACACTCACTACTTTACATTTTAGCAAAGTGTCATTTCTTCAGTGTTGTCATAGGAAAAGAAAATTAAATATTTCCACATATATAAAATACACACATTTATTTAATGAGCGTTTTAGGGTACATATGCACTGGGCCACAAACAATGCAAACAATCTGCATGCCTGTATGCATGCATGGGTTTCTTGCAAGTACCAGCATATACCCACATTCATGGCTATAGGGCAGCTGTATGCAGCACCTGCAGGGACATCCACCTGAACTTTATACTGTATGGCCATAGGCCACTGTGTGAATTGCACGCTTAGAGCCACCAATTACAGCATTTGGTTTAACTTTGGACAAGGGGGGTTAGAATCTTGTTTGAACTGGCAAAATCTGCTTTCACTTCCTGTTGGGAGAAGTTAGGGCCCTTTCACACTGACCTGTTTTTGATGCAATTTTGGGGTACAAAAAAGTCTAAGAAAAATGCATGAAAAACGTATCTTATAAATCCTATGGAACTCGTAACACAACTCTGCTGCAGGTGCAGTGTGTTGTCCTGCATGCTGCAAAAATGCAGAAAAACAAGTGTACATCTGCTCACAAACATTGCTGTATGTTAGGCATAAAACTCTCTCACTGACTCGGTGGGCGTGATGATGTCAACACAGGCTCCACCCCTGAGTCAGTGGCGGTGCTTGAGAGAGTTTTATACATTAGGGTCGGTTCACAGTATAGAAACGCAGTCCGGGTGCGTTTCTGCATGCACATTTTTTTATGCGTTCGTGCGCTTTTTAAGCATTCCAGTTCATTTTTTCCCCTCTCTTTTTCTTCAATTTAAATAGGGACATGTGAGTTCCTGTGTGTTTTTGATGCATTTTACCACGTTTCACTACAGTTCTATGCAAAACAAATGCAGCACGTTCTACTTTTTTTTTTTCTGCAACTGGAACTGCAAGCAGTGATGTGAACTATGATATTGACAACCATAGAACCTACTTTCTGTGCATTGTACCTGATGGCAACTGCATTCCAAATGATGAGAGCTTAATACCACCTATAACTTGGGGTCTTCGCAGTCAGCAAGAGGCTGTGTGTGTGGTGGTGGAATTCATTGGGAAAAGCTAGTTATTCACTACAGTAATTTATTTTTGTTTGTTTTTTTCACTCAGGGTGGATCACTGTGATTTCAGTAACATATGCCCATTGTCTAGATAATACAAACCTTGAGGTTGATTATACTTTAAAATGCTTGCTGAACATGATGTCCTTCAGACTAATGTTCACAAGCAAAGAATATACATTTCTCTGTGAACCTTTCAGTTTGCTGAAATGTATTAAAAACACAGGCACAAAGACTGGGGAAAGGAGTGACTATCCAGAGGACCAATGAAAGGCTAGAATATATGTACATCTACATCTTGGGAGGTGAATATTTAGATAATACAGACATGATGCATCCAAACAGGGATCTGTGGCTAATGACAGTTGGCTGAAAATGATGTTTAAAGTTCGATTTGCCAATTATCAATTGTCATATTCTTCCAAAATGGCATGGCAGCCAATTATACTATGCTGTGTATTTATTTATATTGCAGAAAACAAACAACAAGAAAATTAGATTTCAAGGACCATAAATGTTGTTAGCAGTGAAATGAAGACTGCATCATACAGCCAAAAGGAACAAATGGTTGATCAGGAAACTGATGATTTGTGAAGATAAACGGATTATGCAGTAGTAAATCATGTATCTGCAGCACAGATGCATTTCCACGTAACACAGTGCTGGCAATGCCCTGAGTCAAATGTAATATGTACAATGATGAGAAACTGTGTTCAGTAATTAACATGACATTCAGGAAGAAAAATCTTACAATTAAAAAAATAAAAGTGCTGTATACACAAAGCAGCGCTATACAATCACACAGCACTGGTTCCAAAATTAAATAAAACATTGGGTAGAGTATACTGCTGCTAACCTTTTAGGTTGTAACACAGAAGAAATAAGAAGATGTAGGCAAATGGCAGCAGATAGATACTGTATGTTTACACACGGTTTAACATTTGTGGGCTAAATCTTCAACTATAAAGCTTCATCTTTATTTTCAAAACCTTGTATACATGGGCACTAAAAATGAAACCTTGGCTCTCTGACATGCTTTTATAAGACCTAAACCAGGGCTGCTCAACCTTCTGAAGAGCGTGGGCCACAATGAATTGGTCCAGAATCCATCCCTCTCGGATGTTTACCCAAATAGTTTAATCACAATTTTTATTAAAAAGATAACCAATAACTCTCGCACTGAGGTGTGACCAGCCAAAAAAGCTCCGAACCAGTGTTGCGGCCTTCACTATATCACGGTCTTTGCAACCATCCTTTGAATTGCCAAAACAAAGCCTGTGGACAATTTAAAAAAAAAAAAAAAAACCAAACCAAAGAAGCAAATAGTCTATTAACTACTTGCTACTTATACCCCTTCCTGCCCAGGCCAATATTCTGCTTTCAGCACTGTCACACTTTGAATGACAATTGCGCGGTCATGCAACAATGTACCTATATGAAATTTTTCTCAGTTTTTTCCACACAAATAGAGATTTCTTTTGGTGGTATTTAATAGCCACTGAGTGTTTTATTTTTTGTGCTATAAACAAAAAAAAAGAAAAAAAAATTTTGAAAAAAAAAAAAAAGTTTTCCTTTTTTTTTTATTATAAAATGTAGCAAACAGGTAATTGTTCACCTTCACTGATGTGCGTTGATGAGGCTGCACTGATAGGCAGCACTGATGGGCATTGATGATGCTGCACTGATAGGCGGCACTGATAATCAGTGCCGATCTCCTCTGTGACAGCTGCCGGTTATCGGTAGTACTTTCCTCATGCTGTGACAGCGTGAAGAAAATGCTGCCGATAACCGGCAACTTTATTTACACTGTGATCTACTGTGTCATTGGACACAGCTGATTACATGATAAAAGGTCGCTGTGATTGGCCTTTTACCACATGACGTGATCAGCTGTGTCCATAGGACACAGCGATCACGGAGATTGCCGGCTGCGCGCCCGTGGGGTCGCGCAGGAGGGTGCATTTTGGGAGGACATCATATGACACCCTCCCAGAACTTGGTAACCGCAATGTAGCCATCATTCGGCTATAGAACGATTACCAAGTGGTTAATGCAATCAACTTCTTTATTAAGCAAAGATATAATGACACATAATGCACTCTCATGCTCACGGAATGACACCAAGCTCATCGCCCAACTGTGAGAATCCACCTTCAGAACCCCTGTATGGATGCCACTAGATGTAATCCACTAATCTAAAGGCACTTCTCCCTGTGTCTGTGTTAGGAAGGAAGGAAGGAAGAAGGTAGGTGGGATGTGGTGGGAGTGTCCCAAAATACAGGAGTATTGGGGAGAAATAATTTACCAAATTCAGGAGATAACTGGGGTTAATGTCCTGAAAAGATCCAGGTGCAAACTTATTCCATAAAACCAAGACTACAGTAGAAAAATATAGGAACTTGATGATATTCCATCTAATAAATGCAGGAAAGGGATTGATACCTAAATTTTGTCAGGAACAGCAGGTACTGAAAATAACAGATTGGATAAGTAGGGTTGACTATGTGTACAGGATGGAGGAACTCTACCATATGGCAGAAGATAGAATGGAAAGATTTAGAGAAAGGTGGGAGAAATGGGATGTGCTTAAAAGCGCAATTAAAAGAGCAAATAAATTTGCTGGAGAAATAGAGAAAAGATAAGAAAGGAAGAAGGAGAAGGGTGTTCCGAGAGTGCCTAGGAAGGAGGAGGAACGGGGAGCTAAAGGGAAAAGAACTGGGAGTGGATACGGTGAAGGTTGGGAATGCGGGGTGGGGGAGGGTATTTCTGGGATAAAAGGTATGTAAGGAAATTGTTCCTTTTGAATATTATGATTTATGGATGTAAAGTGAAATATTGAAAATTAATAAAATATATTAAAAAAAAAAAAGAAAAAAAAAAAAAAAAAAAAAAAAAAAAAAGGAGGGATGGAGTAGAGTGGGGAGGAGGAGGCAGTAGTGGCCTGTGTACAACAGCTGCCGGGTTTATGTGAGGATCGGCAACTGTTCAGTAGAGTGGCGTGCAAGGAGGCTGTGCAATTCGCCATAGGTTTGAGCCTGTAGGCCAAAGGTTGACTATGCCTGACCTAAACTTTAGATTATTGGAAGTGATGAATTACTGAACCTTAACAGGTGACCATTCCCAGTAAAGGCGAGCTAAGGACTGTGCAGCTGCCATGGTAAGTAGCCAAGGTCATTTTAAGGGTTGACTAGAGACAGGAGTCTTAAGCCAAATCTCAGTTCAATCTAAAATGCCAGAGATACTGAGGGAGAAAACAGTTTAAAAAGTATACTTTACCAAAGTAGGTTTACTTTGTTTCTGTCTTAACAAAACCACTCCCCACTCAAACTGCATATTTACCGAGTTCTTGTGGCCATGACCCACCACAATGTTTACCTCCTCCTGTCCTGGATCTTCTTCCCGATTTCAAAGTATGTGCAGAAGAACCCCACAGGTTTCTATGGGAAGCTACTTTGCACATGTGTACAGCTGGAAGAAGATTCAAGCAGTAGGGGATAAACATTGCGGTAGGTGAAGGATGCAGGAGCTCAGAACATGGGCAGGTGAGGTTAGGCTAGTCAAGGTTAGGGAGGAGCAAATATACTTACTCTAAGTGGCTGCCACTATTTATATTGAACTTTTAGGTCTGGTTCACACAGATGTGAATTGGGTGCGTTTTGGAAAACATCCCTATTCGCATGACATGTGAAAGAACATTGCTTTCTATCAAGCCTGTTCACATATGCGGGTGCAGCCGGAGTGCAGATTCAGTGCAAATTGAAAAACAATCCTGTGTTATGCACAAGTTGCACAAAACTTTCAATTTCCAGTTTGTCAATCAATGTACCAATGGTGCAAACTTTTTACATAGAGTGAGAGAGTTAAATTTGCTTACAGAAGATGTGATATAAATGACACACCAACCTGTGAAAACAGTTGAGGTCCTGTTGGAGAAGTCTCTTCGTTTTCAGGTTCCTTGCTGGTTTCTGTCACAGGTTCTACTGGCTCTGGAAGAAAGACATCATCTAGCGTGCTGACAGATGACTGGCTTGGCCTAGGATTCTCCAAAGAGACGACATTTGGAATGGTAGTCTTCGGCTGTTTGGTAACCACAGCTGGTTTTTCAGTCAAGAGTGCTGGTTTCTCAGGTTTGGATACTTCCTTTTCCTTCTGGAAGGAATCTTGCCTATAATAGACAGGTAGTGGCTTCTCACCCTTTTCTAAGGATTTTATCTGGCTTGGTGTTAAAGACTGAAATTCTGACTGTGAGCCTTCAATTCTAGATCGCTCCATGCTTATTTTCCAAAAGGTTGACTCCTCTTCTTTCCTCATTGGAGTTGATCCATCATAGTTGGGTGGTCTAGTAACCTGGGTGTTCTTAACTTGGGGATTGCTAAGAGGAGTCTTAATCTGATTGTTTTGATTTGCAGCTTTAGGGGTTTGCTTTGTTTCAGTCTGTGCAAGACCAGTTGCTAATTCTTGACCAGATATAGAAGCAACACTGAACTCCATTTGACTCTGTTAAATTAAAATTCATGATTAGACAATACTGAAAGGATCAATAAACAAATCATTTATAAACTTTAAACCAAAGTTTTATCTGTATCAAAATTATACAAGCAATATTATCTTACTATAATTCTGGCCATATGTGACCGATTTTGGAATTTTTACAGAATAACTTTACAAATCATACAAGTTACTTAAATGAACAAGATCCAGGCCTCACAATCTAGACCAAAGGTGCAAGATCCAATACTCGATTTCTAGATCAAATTTATGAAAAAGTTATTGCAATAAAAATGGGGTTTTCTCTAAAGTATTTGGGCCTATTTGACATAGCTTCACAGAGGGCACCACAGTGCACGTGCACAAAATATCCAAGATTTGTCCACAACAAGAAGGTGTACACAATACACTGATGCTTGTGAATGCATTTTGTAGTGATAATGGTCTAAACACGTGTTGCTTTATTTACTCTCAAACCAGGGTGCAAAGAACTTTGGAGCTGCTCCTTTGTTTGGTACGTGCATTTTATAAACCTTACTAAACTATCATTGTGCACATAAGGCCCAGCTCAATTTTGCTCAGGGCTTCAATGTGGACACTACTTACTTAGCAATAGCTGCTATGAAAGGGCGCGGGTACTGTATGGGGAAGAGTGTCCCCGATTGAGGTCTAGACACTGAACAAATTCTACAGAGGATTAAAATGTTCTGTGCACCTAAATTTACTACTGATGTCAGAATCCTCCATGACTAAAAACAAGAAGTAGCAACATGGTTTTACAGTATATTGTACAAATATTAGTATTCTACCAATATTGCATCAAATCTTTAAAAAACAATTCTAAACTGAATAACAGTCAGCGAATCAGATGTGGCCTTTTTTTGCCTTTAAATCGAGACCTTGGGGCCCTACTGATATCAAGAATGAGGCTAATTTCTCCCACTGACACCAACAATGGGTACAATTCCTCCCAGTGATACCTACAATGGGCATAATTTCCCACTTACACCACTGATGGGACTCAACTTCCCAATGACATCAGCAATGGGACACCATTTCTTTAATTGACACAAATTATGAGGCATTATTCTTCCCAATGATACTATAGATGGGGCACTTCCACTGATACCAGTGAAGGTGCACAATTCCTTCTTCTGATACCTACAACAGGACACTATTTGCTCTAATGATATCAACAATGGGACATTATTCCTCCTCCAACTGACCACAGGCGCTAGATAATTATTTTACCCCCACTAAACACCAACCTCGGCACCATTTTTACTCTCACTGACCATCAACACCAGGATGTTGTCTACACCCACTGGCCGCAGTGTGGCCCCTCTAAAGTCTAAAGGACAGTAATTTTTTTTTTTTTTTTTTTTTGAAAGTTTGGAAACCACCAACTTAATCGTTTTATTTTTCTTTCTAGGTAGGAAAATAGTGAAAATCTGTAAAAATCATTTAGCCATGATTGATTTTAGTTATGGGGTGCTCTTATCTCCAGACCTTGACTGTTACATCTGCAGAAGAAAACAAATGTTTATTTTCTTCTTGCTACAGCTCCCATAACTGAAGAAGGATATCACTGTCTACTATAGATTCTATGGCAAAGTAGATTCAAAGAACACAAAGCATACTTCTTTCAGTACCAGGCAAGTTTAAGTACTTACAGAGGTAAAAAAAAAAAAATAAAAAGATAGCTCAGTGCAGCCACAGAGAAATAAAACCAGAATAAAACCAACTGGTGCAAGGCACAGAAACTGCATCATGTGCTCATTTACATTGTCATTTTCAATAAGTGACTCAATTTTAAATAGTTTGTACAGTAGTCTACCACAGACAAGCAAATATCCTGGATTCAGAAACAGGCAGTGTAATTGTCCACTGGAAGTTAAATCTGTATTGTCTACTTGATACATAAGAATTTTCCTACCATGAGAAAGACGCCAGATTGGAATGCCAATGTATAAACCTCTGCATACCGACATCTGTAAAGGCCAGGAACTAAATGATTCTCAATTTAGAAATTCTGAGCTTGTGCTGCACAGATATACAGTACTTAATGTGAACCTGCACACTAGATACTTCATGTTCATATACAAGCATTAAAACTAATTCTGCTGTACGCTAAATTTCCAATATGTTTACCGTAATACACTTCTATATAGGAAAACATTATTCAGATAAAGTAAAAATGTTCACGAATAAGATTGTGAACATGGATATGACCTGAATGGTAACTAAAACAGATGTCAAATCAGACTTTTCATGCTCCACTGACCTTAAATCAGAACCCCAGCTAAAAATAACAAGATGAAGATTAATTTTATTTTTGGCTGGAGTCTGAAGCATAAAGAATAGCCCATTATAACAAAAAAAATCAAAAACAGCTTTTGCTGCAATATTCAGCTTTAATCCACAGTTTTCGCCTCCAGTACTTTTTTTTTTTCTACTGCCACTGGATGTCCTCAGCCTGATGGCCAGCATAATTTAACCCACCATGTCTCAATCGAGTCTATCTTGGCTCTGCTCTAGCCTTTGACTAAAAGAAGAAGTGGCCCAATGGTGTGCATCCGTTACTCTATTTCCTCCACCTATCTGCATGCTTCTTGTCAGCACATGAACCGATTACTTGCACTGCTTCTTTCACTCACACTCCAGCCCTGTTGCAAGGGGAGTGCAGGAGGTCAATTCAACATTTGGACTGACATAAATGTCCATTGTGCTACAAAAAAAACCAAAACAACAAAATTAATTGATTTTAAAATTTTCCAATATGCATTTAATATATGTGATTAGCTCTGAAATCTATTAATCATTATAGTGTCAAGAACTAGTTTTGAAGTTCACCCTAAAACATGATAAATGTGATACATACCTGACTGAATTATTATGCTGAATAAAATGATTCTGTAAAAGGAGGAGAGATAGGTCTACACGGTGCCAACAACATCAGTCAAGGTCAATGGCATTCTTTTGGATCCTTTTCTTATTACGAATGGCACTAGGCAGGGCTGTCTGCTATCACCTCTACTTTTCTCCCTCATTTTCAGAAACTCAATTATCCAGGGGCTGGGGGGGGGGGGGGGGGGGTGTCGGAGATGTTCAACATAATGTCTCAGCTTATACTGATGATATGATGATCACATTAACTAACCCCGGGATCTCTATTCCCAACCTTCTTCGTGAGTTTGAGCGGTAAGGAGCCCTCTCCAATATTAAAATTAACTTCTCCAAATTGGAGGCGATAGGGATGGCGATACCACAATCTTTCATTTTCTCTCTACAGTCGCACTTTAAATTTAGTGTAGAAGTGGAAAACCCAGATACTCCTGCGCTTGGGGATGGACTCTATGTCACTGGGACCACATAACGAAATTCTTGGGATATGCACGCCTTGCTGCCCTCAAAAAGGACTGGGGAGTCCAAATATACTAAATAGAGAAAAACAAACAGAGGGCACACTGGCCTATTTCATTACCTTAAAAGTATGTTTATTAAATGTTTAAAAAATATTCTACAAACAATCGTCAAATAAAAAGGCACATCATGAAGGAACTGCTCTGTCCAATTCGCTTTGCGTATCTGTCTTATGATGAGAATTCTGGACATCCGAAAGCTGACGCATTTCGAGGGCTAGCCTCTTCCTCAAGGCTTTGAGGAAGAGGCTAGCCCTCGAAACACATCAGCCTTTTAAAGTTCATGCACTAGGCAGGTGCACCCTCTGTTTGTTTTTCTCTATTTAGCACTTTAAATTTAGGCGGACCACTAAGGCTCTGAAATATCTGAGCACTTTGATTCCCATACTTTTGATTTGAACTTTCCGCCACTCCTATGTAATGTGCACACTCTTTTGGCCAATTGGCACCGAGGACTTCATTCTTGGGTTGGGCAGTGTAACATTATTAAAATGTTCATTCTGCCAAAGTTTCTCTACTTGTTTCAAGCTTTGCCTATCCGCATCCCTGTATTTTTCAAGCAGGTTCATTCTTTCCTGTATGATTTTATCTGGGCACATAGGATACCCCGAATCCATTGCTGGCTCCTGACTTTGCCTAGGCAATTCAGAGATTTAGCCGTTCAGGATATATCAAAATATTTTTGGGCAACACACCTTGGGAGATTGGTGGATTAGTGTTGTCATGGAGATATTAAATTGTGGCCCAAACCTAACATGTTTAAAACACATACACTAATTGCCATGATGTCACATATATGCTCCCTTCTATTCTTGATTACTTATTTTGCCCCTTGTTCCCAATCTTGGGCCACCCGCAGTTTGGGCTAGGCCTCACAGAAAGCTCTTTTAGGACCCTTCTTCAGTCAAGCCATTTCTTAGCAGCACACTTTTTGGTGGCAGGTTTTTGGATTTCTATGCAGACTCTTATGATCCCAAGGGGATCCTATACGCTAGATTTTCTGAGAACTATGTAAATACATAATTTTCTACATTCTCTTCCCACTTTTCCAAGGCAGTCAGCTTACGCTAAAAGCTATGCAGACTATTGCTTGGGCAGGGGTGCACTTCCTCATGCGCTCTCTAAACTTTATTTGCTCTTGGTCCCACCTCCCAAGGACATCTCCTTGCCCTACCTTGAGAATTGGAAAGTGGATTCAAGGAATCAGAACAAACTGCCATTGTCTGATTTGAGTTTAAAATCTTTACTTTGCACAAGAATTCAGGAGAATAAAGGGTCTTGTGCTGACGTACCAACACATAAGTGAGGTGTATACCAAAACGTGGACCCTATGGAACAGGTTCATATATTCCGAGGAGGGAAAGTTTCTTCTCGCAGTGAGTCCTACATGCTGTTAAATACAACAATCCCTTTTGACACCCCCTTCCTTTTTATTTTCTTCTTGCCCCCTTTCTCTTACCTTTTTCCATTCCTCTTTTTTCCCCACTTTGCCCATCTCTGTTTGTTTGCTCCTTATATATCCTCTTCTTGGACCATTTTCTTTCTGGTTTAGTCTTAGAGAAGAGAAAAATGTCCAGCAGGTTCCTC